TCGCACACCCTTCAGTACTCAGTACCTTTCCTTCAGAGTGCCTATCAGTGTTGGAAATTGTACATTTACATATGTGATTGTCTGACTATGTCTTTCTCCCCTACTACCATGCACGCTCCATGAGAACAGGGATTCTATTTTAATTCATTCACCCAAGTATCCACAGGGCTAGGCACACTGCTGGGCTGGGCACACAATTAGGTGCTACAAGAGAATTACGTGGAATGTATCAACTTTCATATTAAACAATGGATGCTGAACACTTTGGGAGCTCAGCCTATACACCTGCTCATCTTTCCTAGCCCCAGCCTCCCAGCCCCTACCCTTCACATCTCCAAGTCTTCCTTCTGGACTCCTTAGAGGACTCTTAGTGCCAGATCCATGTCCTCTCACATCTCACCATTATTCTAGCCAAGGCCATCACTCCCTCAGCATGCTCTTAAGGCCATCAAAACTTACTAATCATGAAATCCAAAGGAAAAATTCTCTGTCTTATTGGAATTCTCTGCTGCATTTGACAGTGTTGATTACTTTCTCCTTGAAACTCTTCCCTACCTTGGTCGTCATGGCAACCCCCTCTCCTGGTTGTTTGTCGCATCTCTCAGGCCCTTCCTTCTCTTTCTCCTTTTTTGCCTGCCCACACCTGGCTCCTCAAATGTCACTATGACTCATGATTCTGCCCTGGGCCCTCTCCCATTTTTCTCTACACTCTCTCCCTGGTGATCTCACTTATGCTCCGGGTCCCCATTACTCTGAGTGGTGACAGCCCTGGGCTAGTGCTTCCAACTGAATCTCTTCCTGAGCCCTGGACACCAGGATCCAAGTGTCTGCTGGGTCCCACTTGGCTGTGTCTGAGTCCACTATCCTGTCGCTCAAACTGGCTCTCCATGCTGTGTTCCCCACCCCAGGGGCCTCCCCACCATCCACCCAGGACTCTACTCAAGATACATGGGGTTGGGCACGGTGGCTCATGCCTGTAACTGCAGCACTTTGGGAGGCCAAAGTGGGAAGATTGCTTGAGCCCTGGAGATGGGAGACCAGCCTGGGCAACATGGTGAGACCCTGTCCTACAAACAAACAAAACCAAGACACATGGGAATTACCTTTGGCTTGACTTTCTCTCTCACTCTCACAGATAAGCACCCACTAATTATTTCTGGGTTTTATCTACCACAAGTTCTGATCTCTCTCCATCCCCACTGGTCTAGTTCAGGCCTTTCCCTCTCTTACCTGGAAGTCTCCTGCCTCTGAGCTGGCTACTTCTAATGGATATCTGAGAGTTTTGGCTTTTTAGCATGACTTACTCTTCCCTGAAGCCCCTTATTACTTCTTGGGAAATTTTCCATCTTATGTGGCTGTGGTGGGACCTGGGCCGTTCTCTCACATGGAAGCCATGGAGGCCCCTCCTCCAGATCCTGCCTCTTACCACCCAGGTCCTATCAGAGGGTGGCACAAGGCCCAAGCCCAGCCAGCTACACCAAGCCTCTCTCTGGACTTTTGACTTCTGTCCAGATAGGGAAGAAATAGAATTCTTTGATGTCTAGGCAATACCAACAAATAGAACTACTACTGAGACCCTGAATGTCCCATTCAAGCCTGTGACCTGGGCCTCACCTACTTCATTGCTCCCTGGATGTTGTCACAAAGTCTTTTTGATACAAAGAAAAACTTCTGAATCTCCATTTCAGACACTGGATTTCAAGCAGAAAATAATTATTCTGCCCCTGCCTAGCCGGCTGCCTGTTGCTAGGTGCTGAAAGGTACAAAAAAAATGAGAAAGACATAGCCCCAGCCATGAGGCAGACGAAACCGTGCTAATTAGAGCTGGAGTCAGTACGCAGAGGGCAGAGAAAAGGCCTCCCAAAGAACATGGAGATCAGGTTACTTGCTAAAATGTACATCATTTACTTTTGTCCCTTTTCACCAACACCGCTAATCCCTTCACCTCTACACTTAATCCCAGAGCTCCAGGGCCCCTCTCACTGCCCAGCCCTGCTCTTCCGACTGGGCTTGCACTGCTTCCTCCTTCCTGTGTCTCCTGGAAGAATCAGGTCCTTCCTGGACCCGCTGCCTGCTCCTGCTCCAGCTCCCCCTCCCTCCTTTCTCAGCCAGACTCAGTTCATTCCCCCCACACCAAGAGGAGCTTCTGCCCCTTGCCCCAAAGTTGCTGTGACAAAAGTCCCCAAAGGCCAGGTCTGGGAGATGGCTGAGCCTCTGCTAACCTCTGTGCATATGGCCCACCAGTGCCCACTCTGCCCTTTTGGAAACTCTCCTCTGGGTTCTAGGAACCCCATGTTTTTGGTCTTCTCCTCTGGCCCCTCCTTCTCTGTCTCAGCAGAACTCTCTTCCTGTACCTATTCCTAAAATGTCATGAACTCGTTTCTGGCCTTGTCCTTCTTCTTTGAGTGCATCTCTGGTTCTTCATCTATCCCTGTTGAGATGCCCACACTTTCTTTGGTGAGCTCCCAACTGGCACATATACTTTCCTACTTGATGCCAGCTATGCACATTTTCCTTCCTTGCCCACCCTCGCCCTTTGCTCCTGCCTCTGACTCAGACAGGCGGGAGGACTCTAGGTGATAGCCTTCTGGACTGCTCCTATCACATCTATCCTTATGTCATCTCAGTCCAGAGCCAGCTCAGAAATTGTCCCCTGGCCCAAACTGTTACTCTAGCAGCTTTCCCTGAGACGTGGCCATGCTGCCTGCTTTCCTTACCCTTTCATTTTCCTCTGTCCCATCTCTCACAGGAAACTGCTCTTGATGAGGGTCTAGTGGCCCCTAATGACCACATCCAGTGGGCTCTCGGTCCCTGTCTAGCTGGCCTTTCTCTTTTGTCTGTTGGTGGCTCTCTTTTGAAAGTGCTCCACATCCCCAGGTTTCCATGCCAACATAGCCTGCATGTGCTTTTTCTACGTCTGACTTCTTTTTCGCCTTTGTGGGCTCCCCTCTCTCTGCCCACCCCTTAAATGGGGGCAAGGCTCTTGTTCTTGGACCCCCTCTCTTTTCTCAGCTGGCGCGTTCTCCTAGAGCCAGTTCACCAAAGCCCATGGCTACAAGCACCAAAGTTTCAATCCAAATCTCTTGTTTAAATCTGCTGCTGGGATCTAGACCCTCTATCTAGCTTCTTGCAGGCCACCTCCTCCTGGATGCTCACCTCTGACTCAACCTGTCCAAAACTGAGCTCAACAATTTTCTCTCAGCCCCCAAATCTGCTCTTTCTCCTGGGTGTTCTTCCTTTCACCCAGTCACTCATGACAGAAAATAGGAAAGGTATCTTTTACTCTCTTTCTTTAACACCAGCAACCAACCAGTCAGCAGATTCTCCCAATTTCACCTCCTGGATCTGACCACTTCCTCCCATCCTCTTGGCCCCTACCCTTATCCCTCCTGGACCCCACCTGGACCAAGGCAATCATCTCCTCTCTGGCCCACATGCCTCCAAATTTCTCTAAGCAACCAGAGTAATCACTCCAAAAGAGAAATCCTACCATGGCACCTGCTTGCACAAAATGCTTCAGGGGCTCCCTGTTGCAACTGAACACCCAAGTCTTGAATTAGACATACTAGCACTATGTGAGCTGGTTCTGCTTTCTCCACCCCTAGCCTCTCATTTCATACTTCAGCAACCCCCAGCTGTCTATGAGTTCATCCATGATGCCTCTCACCTCTACCTCTGCCTTCTACTTGAATAACTTCTACCTATCCAGTCACCTCTTCTAGGAACCTCCTTGGATATTCCCATGAAATCTGCACCACCAACCCCAGCTGCCCATGCTCCCATGTCCCAGGCATCTCTCTGGCCTTCTCCTTCCTACGTATCATTTTAGTGTCTGTCTGTGTGTCTTTCTTAACTCTGAACTCCCAAGGGCAAGGATCATATTTATCTTTTGTGTGTGTGTGTGTGTGTGTGTGTGTGTGCGCGTGTGTGTGTGTGTTATATTTTTATAGATACAGGGTCTTGCTATGTGGCCTAGGCTGGTCTTGAACTTCTGAGCTCAAGCAACCCTCCTGCCTTGGCTTCCTAAAATGCTGAGATTACAAACGTGAGCCACTGTGCCTGGCCAATATTTTAAAACGTATCATCACGCCTGACACAAAGTAGAGACTCAATAAATGTTGAGTAAAGTTACAGGCCACTTACTCTCTGAAAATTTCTCTCTTCTTCCAACTTTCCAAGAAGTGTACACCAATTCACATTCCCCCCAGTAGTGTAAAACAGTGCCTATTCCACTATCCTCATCAACACTGGGTATTCTTAAATTTTTCCCCCTAATTTGTTAGGGAAAATTTGTATTTCCTTGTTGTTTTTATTGTTGATCTTTGGTTATTAGTGAAGTTGAATGTTTTTTCAAAAATTTTTTTAGTCAATTCCATTTCTTTTCCTGTAAACTCAATTTAGGCGACTTACACACACCTGTTTTGCTTTTACTATTGGGTTTTGGGTGTGTTTTTTTAATACATTAAGAATCTGCAACCACTCTGCTTTTTGGTTGTGATATTACTTGACTTTGAAAATATTTAGTTTTAATGGAGTCAAATTGGTTGGCCTTTGCCTTCTTGATGTCATTTTGTTGCTTTTTAGCTTAAATGGGCTCCCCATTCAGTCACTTGTTAAATATTCCTTTTCCCTCTGGTTTTTAATGGGCTCATTTTTCCTTTTGACCTTTGAAAATAATTTTCGAATTTGGGTGTGTGCTCTGAGGTGAAGTTGGAATGGACTTTTTCTCTTTTTAGTCAATCAACAGTCCATGCCTCAATTTTGGGTAACCCTTCCATTCTTGGCTCTGGCTCTGAGCTTAGCTATTCCTGGCTGATTATAGCATTTATGGTCACAGCCTTCTCAGAGCACATACCACCTGAACAGGAACTGAAAGGCTACAGGAGGGTATGATTCCAGGCACAGTGACAGTGAAAGACAGGGAGGTGTTTAAGGGATGGGAGCAGAAAGCCTTTCTGGAAGCCCTGACAGAAGAGTGTGTGGAAAGATAGATCACCTACTTTGCCAATGTGAATGGCTAAATCCAGCTGGCATCCACCTGTCCTGGAGGCTTCCAATTCTGCAAGGAAACATTATTCGGGGTCACAAGAGACAAAGTGCCCACCCCACTCCTCACCTGCGCCAACCTACCTGTATAGACTCTGCCAGCACATTTCACCATCAGCTGAAAAATCATCTCAGCCAGCTCCTCTCAAGTTCATCTTCTGGGGGCTGCAGCCATCATCACGATTCCTCCGTGCCGCAAGATGAGGACCTGACCCAGAACCTGGGGTCACCACGCCCCTTGTTCAATTACTGCTTTAGGCATGAGGGTATCTGAGGGTAATGCTAGAGCTGGAAGGGAACTGTGGAATATCTAATCCAACTACCTCATTTCACAGATGGGGAACCCAAGGCCCAGTGAGGGGAGGTGACCCGCAGCCACCTAGCAAGTGAGTGGAAAGCATCCTTGCTGGGAGAACTCAGTGTGAGGACTTTGCCCATCAAATCTTGACCATAAAAATATTTGGACCCTGGGTTCTAAAATAATTACATGATGAACCTGTATATTGTTCAGGAAAGTGGCATGGTGTGTAAAGAAGACAGTGAAGTTAGAGGAATACAGGCCTCTTTTTGCCAGTTCTTTCTGGAATCTAAAAAATAGGGATAATCAAGAATCCAAGATGATAGAAGCAAACTCACCCAACAGACTGAGGGTAAGTCTAACAGGGTCCTCAAACCTCAAGACCCTAAATGGGGAATATCATGAGTATGTGAGACCCCCCCAAAAAAAAAGAAAAAAAAAACAAAACCCTTGTAAACTGTACAGAACTGTGCCCATAGGAGAGTCTGGTCGTCCTAGTACTGACCACCATGTAGGTGTCAATTCTCAACACTCCAGGCAGCCCGACTTAACGAGCCAAGGGTGGATCCTGGGCTGCTTCTATCGTCTTTTTTTTTTTGAGACAGGGTCTCACTCTGTCACCGAGGCTGGAGCGCAGCAGCATGATTTCAGCTCACTGCAGCTCTGTCTCCTGGGTTTAAGCGATTCTCATGCCTCAGTCACCTGAGTAGCTGGGGTTACAGGTGCATGCCACCACGCCCAGCTAATTTTTTGTATTTTTAGTAGAGATGGGGTTTTGCCATGTTGGTCAGGCTAGTCTCGAACTCCTGGCCTCAGGTGATCCACCCGCCTTGGCTTCCCAAAGTGCTGAGATTATAGGTGTGAGCCACCACACCCAGCCCCTTCTTCTATCATCAATAGCTTAACGCTGGTATTTTTCCTCTTTGATCTAATTTCCCATTTCAGTTATTTCACCCCAACAAATATTTATTGAGCACCTCCCAGTGATGGCTTGAGGACAGATGAGGTCACCTGCTGAGTGCTAAGCCTCCCAGGTTTGGGTGGGTGGGTCGTTGCATGCTTGCTATCCAAGGCTAAGCCCCTACCTGTCCATCTAGTGGCGTCCACTCCAGGCCACTTGGGACACAGGCCATCACTTATCCCTGTTCGCTGTTGGCCTTTGTCTTCTTGATGTCATTTCATTGCTTCAGCTTGAAGGAGGTCCTCCACTCAGACACTTGTTAAACATTTTATTCCTTTCCTTCTGGTTTTTAATGAGCTTATATCTCCTATTTGGCTATTAAAAATAGCCTCTCTTCCCTGGCCCCTTCCCCCTCTGAAAAGTGTTATGTCCCAGACTTCCAGTCCTATCTGAGCACCAGGAGCCTCCCTGGTGCCTTTGCCCCAGCTCCCTAACCTCCCTCTACCTCCTTCCCCTCATGACTATAGAGAAGACAAGGACAGTGGTGAAAGTGAGGCTCTGAAGGGCAACAGAATGGGACACAAATCCCAGCTTTGCCCCCATCTTGGGCAAGTGCCTTCATGTTTTGAAGCTCTGTATAGTGGCTAAAACCATGTCAACCCTAGGATGTTCTCTTAAGGTTTCAGGGAGGTACTGTTGACAAAATGCTCATCAGGGCCTGATCCAGAAAAGCACAGGCCAAATATTAGCTAAATCAAAAAAGAACAGTCCAAACGGGTCACGTCCACTTATCCTTCTCTTTCCCTTTATAGTTGGAAGAGGTGATCTGTTCCTCTCATCTCCACTTCTTCCTCTTATTCTCTTCTCTTCCCATAGTGATGTGGTATCTGTCTCTATTGCTCTGCTAACCCCAAGATGGATGACAAGACCTCCTAACTGACCAACCCAACTGCCTCTTCTTGGTCGTCTTGCTGGTGTTGCTTACCACTGGGGACTTCCCATTCCTTCTCAAAACCCCTCCCTCCACACCTTCTCCCTGGGCGATCTCCTGGACTCTCAAGTGAAAGGGGACATCTCTTCTGGGAGGACAGGTGGGCTCCTCTGGCTGGGTACCTGCAGAAGCAGAGCAGGAACGCCTAGGGGTAGGGAACCAGACTGTGAAATGCTCTGCTCCATTAACAGAATGCCATCCTCTAGGCAATAGGGATGGACAAAGTTAGGCCAAGAGCCACAGAACATGACCTAAGCTGGTAAAGATGGCCAATGGTGGCCATTCGGTTGATGGGTTGAAAGAGACAAGATTGAAAGCAGAGAGACATCTGGTGCAACTCTCCTGCAAGAGTGATCTGAATTAAAAGAAGGAGATGGATATAGGAAAGATCAAGGGACCGGAGAGACGGCACTAGAGGTGCAGTGGTGTCATCACAACCAGGGATCGGGAGGCCCAATCCAATCTTACTGGTTCTGGACATCACTCATACTGCACACCCAGACTGTAAGGAGGGCACAGCTGCCAGGGCTATTAGTCACAGTAGCTGTGGTGTGTGCTATGTGCCTGTGGTCCCCAGTTCCTGTCAGTACAAAATGGAACCATATGGCATTTATAAAAATGGCTCCGAGGGTAGAAATAAGAACTGGATCCTATTTGGCCAGTAAGTGAAAACAAACAAAACCAAAAGCCAACCACCAAAAAGCAGCCCCCCAAATGGCCCACCCCATCAGTGAATAGTAGTCTAAACCCCACAGGATTGCAGCTGGAGTCTGGGGGTTGGACTGAGGACAGGTTTTTCCCCAGAATAGTCTGAGGGAATAGGACCAAAGAGCTTAAATCTTGGTGATGGGCTCACATGGGTGTGTGTGGCAGTAGGGCATGGCTGCAGGAGTTCTCAGATTGTTACTCTAAAGAGGACCCTCATGATCTAGGAGGGGAGGAGATGATGGAAATGGGAAAATGAGCAACGCAGAGGACCACCTAAGATGTGATCAGAGTTCAGGAATCAAGGGCAGCCTGCCCTAGCTGTGAACTCTTGGGCAAGTCGAGAAACCTCTCAGCAGAGCTTCGGTCAATTCTCTGTGAAACAGTGGTTCACGATCTGCACTCCTGCAAGCTCACCTGCCTGTTGGCCTATGGGGAGGAACTCATAAAAGCGGGAAAGCTGGGGAAGTCCCATATGCAGTTAGGGTATGGGAAAGGTAGAGGGAGGGAGGAAGAGGGAATCCCCTTGGCTTACAAGTGACTCAGGAGTCCACCGACATCCAGATCTTACAGGGTGTCTACCACCTGGTGGGGCTACTCCTAAACCACATGTGGGCTGTTGCCACAGTGAGGATGCCAGGCTGGGCAGTCTTTTATAAGGTTCTTCTCACATATCTTTGTTCAAAATACTAGTCTGGAGGCTGAAAGATAATCTCTGTCACTTCAGAGTTGCCAAGAGATTTGGGAGGCAAACTGAGTTCCTTTCCTTCTAGGAAAGACTGGGCCACCCAATTACTTAGGGACTCTTAGCAATTGATTGAACCACCTATCCATCTAGCCACCAGGTCAGCCAACCAGCAGGTACTATGCCAGGCCTGGTCAGGTAGGTTCTGTGCTTGGTCAAGGAACAAAGACTAAGCCCCTTATCTTCAAGGGTTGTGCAGGGCCTTGATGACCAAGCCAAAGGATTGGGCCCGTAAACAATATGGAATTACTGAAGGGCTTTGTCTGCCTTTCCTGCCTCATAGACACTTCCATGTCTTCTTTGGCTCTAAGTTAAGATCCTTGACAGTTCTGCACGCAAGAGATTTCAAGTTTATTTTTAAATGCAAAAGATCCTTTGATTAAACACTTGATTGTCTTAATACACTTTCTTTCAACCACTATCTCTAAGACTAAAATAACAAGGAGATAAATGTCACTGATGTTTCACAGAAGACAGCTTTGGAAATGTTAAAGACTTCTTCGTCCAGCCCCCTCCTTGACCTATAAATGGGGAAACAGAGGCCTAGAGAAGAGTAAAGAGAGCAAAGCCACGTGGAAAGTGGATGGGAATCAGCCCCAGGGCCTTAGCACCTGCCTCCCTGCCCCCTCCTTGGAGGTTCACCACTACCAGTGTGGGGCAGGAGGCTGTCAGAGGGTTTGGCTTTGGAAAAGGTGTTGAGCTGTCCAAGTACACGCTCCACACAAGCTGCCCAGAAAAATAGTGAGAGGCCAGAACCACCCAGATTAGTCTCTGGAGAAGAGTCACATCTGACCCTTTGGGATATTTGACAAAGCGCTCTCAAACATATGCCTCCTCTGGTTCCTCACTGGGAGGAGGATGGACAGACAGGGGTTACTCTCCAAGAGAGGGAAATGCATGGAGGGTTGCTGGGCAAGCTGGTGACTAAGTAGGGGCTCAACTGAGAACTTTGGTCTCCCAGAAAGCAAGCTACACCTTGGTGTTTTCCTTTTTAGGATACTGCCTTTACAGAGAAGGTAAAAAATAATTGACTTCACACAGAGGTACTGAGATATGGTCTCCCAAATAATCTCTACCTAACACCACTAAAGCCCTAATGACATGGTATTATCTACCCACAAGAATGACTCTGTCCTCCCTCCTGCTGATCTGAGCTCCTCAAGGAGGGCATAGTCATTCTGCGCCAGCTTCTCAGAGCTTGGAAAAGAGCCTGGCAAATGCTCCTCATATGAATGAATGAGTGGGAGAGCTGGGCGATCAGATCACATCCCTAACAGGCTGGAGCTTAGTAAGGGCCAGTGGCAGGGAGCCATAAAACAGAGGAAATAACATTTATGGAGACTGTGCCTTGGGGCAGATGCTGTGGTGGTGGTGTGTTCTCTATTCGACAGGTGAGGTACAGTCACAAAGGTAGGGCATAAGGGCTGGGGCTCCCTGAAGCCTTGCATCAAGATTCTTCAGTTCTTCAAGTCTCTCTCTGCTCCGCTTTTGAGCCCCTTTTCTAGTATCCCAAAGGGAGACCAAGGGCTTCTGTCTGAAGCCTTCAGTTGCTGCTTAGCCGGGTTCTCTTTTTTACCTCCAGCCTGCCTAACAATAGAAGTTTTTCTCAACATACTTCATTCTCCCCCTGAAGCCTGGCAGATCAAACTCTATTCTTCCTGGGACTTTCAGGAAGATACTGGGGAGGGAGGGTTGTTGGGCTAAGACAGGCCAAGCTCCCCAGGCAGGACCATCTTCCATCAAGGAGAGCACTTCTTCAGTCATTCCTTTTTTCCGAACAGTGGCCCTTTCACACAATTTGGTGCACTGGGGAGTGAGCTTTGCATTGGATGCTAGGAGACAGGGTTCTGGCTCTGCCCACTGAATGGACACATGTGACAGCCCTTCTCTGGCCTCCTTTCCTGCAGCTATTCAACAGGAGTTGGCTTTCCTTTTATCATCTTTCACTGCTTCCTTCTCCCCAGCCTACCCTTTCTCCTGTGTCCCTGCCTCATTCACACTCACTCCTTATGACTACTTCTCTCCATTCCCAGTGATCTAGAGAAGCCAGTAGCCTTCTCCATGCCCTGCTACTTTCACCACTCAAATGCTGTCCTGTTTCTTGCTGACAGAATCCCATCTCAGAGGCTGTTCTGACTGGGTTACTCCCCACCTCCCATCAGATCCTTGTTTGTGATGGTTCCCAGTCGGATGGAAATGAAGAGTTCTGAGGGCTGACTTTTGAAGTCTGCCAATAGCATTTCAGCCTTAGATTCCCTTAGTATCTCCCAACAATTCGCTAGCTTTAGATAGACTGACCTCTTTATCCCAAAAAGCCTTTTTGGGTTCTGATTCTAGGGCAGCCAGATAGTGGTGGTCCTTCATTTTACTTTCATCCCAGTCTCTTTATCTGTAAGCAGACATGCTTGATTAGATGGTAAAATAATAGTAATAACATCTCATTTATTACTTCACTGCTCAAACCTTTATATATTGTTCTTCAGGGCTCCACCTGAAAGTTAATCCTTCCAGGCCCATATTGGGTCCCCTCTTAGACCCTCTCTTGTAGCAGCTGACACAGTCCATGGCTGCGTATCGCTGGCATTATCTGCTCAATGTTGTGCCCTTTCCCATTAGCCTGGAGGGCTCCCGGACGGCAGGAATGGTCGACCCTATAGTCCCAAGGCCTATTCCTGCATGGGATTCTGCCAAATACCAGCCAAATGACTGACAATGCAGGCCCCCTTGGGAGACAAGAGGAGCCCTCATGGGCCATGCCTTGTAGGAACTCAGTCGCTACAGAAGAGGAAGTCTGCCTAACACTAGCAGTAGCACTCAACAGAAGGCTGAGTGAAATGCTCCAGTCAAGTAGATCTCCAGGGAGAAGAAATCCAGGGAAGTTTCCTGACAGAGGAAGTACCTGGGCTCACATGGTACACTGACTAAAGCATAAAGCACATGCTATCCTGAAAGTGCACTGCCACCTACTCAGAGCCCAGCTAACATCCTCAAATGGGTCCAGGAAGATCCTAGATCTTGGGAGAAAGAACTCCCAGGATATTAGGACTAGAAAAACTGTCTGCTCCAAAGATCACATTTTACCTATCTGGAAACTGGGGCCCACAGCAGGGCAAGGACCAGTTCCTAAAGCAGCCCAGACCTAGGCCTCGTGGGGTCTTGTGGTCACTAGGTACCATGTGGGCAACCATTTCATACCAGGAGCCATAGTGACCAATGGAATTGTATGTTTTTCTAAGGCCTGCTGCCCCTACTCTTTTACAGAAAAGGTATCTACTTTTCATTTTCCTAAAAGGCAGTTCAGGAAGAGGGGGCGGTGGCCTGGCAAGGTAGGAAGCATTATGGGGTGACAGAATGCTGATTTGGCAGTCACTTTGGGAAGGGGTGGCTGCAGGGTCCCTGCTGGAAAGGGCCACAAATCTTTCAGAGGGAGGCCTGTTTGTGACTCTTAAGCAGGCTTGACCTGAAACAGAAAGCTGCTTTCTGAGGGAGAGCAAAATAAGCAATAATCTTGGCTTCATTCATCATCCAGGTGTCGCCACAGGAGAGAAGGGACACAAAAGCCTTTTTTTGTTTGTTTGCTTTGTTTCTGGAATTTGCAGTTGTCTATTTTGTTAAGTCTTCCCACTAGGCTACACTCATGAGCTCCTGGAGAGTCAGGCCTGAGTCTTGCCCCTGAAATCCCCAGTAAGCCGAGTACAGGGTCTCAGTGTTTGTTGAACAAACCATCCTTTCCAGGTATGACTCCTCAGCTTGTCAAGACTTTGCAGAACCACGAAATCTATCCAGAAACACAGAAAAGAAGAATTCAGAGATAAAAGCACAAAAGAATCAGATAAGAAAATTACCCAGCAGATATGATCAACACAAGTTTGGTTTTTTGAAAATACCTCTAAAATAGACAAATCTTTGGCAAGTTTTGAATGAAGAAAGGAATAAAGTAACAATGGGCAGACTTAAGTGAACAGGAGAAAACCATACTCAATTTTATAGCAATAAATTTAAAGCCTAGGTAAAACAGGTGATCTTCTATGAAATTACCAAAGCCCTTCACGACTGTGACTAAATAAAACCTCACGATAGCCCTGTGCTTGGACAGGCAGTACTCCTACTATGCTTTCTAGAAGGAGATTCAGAGGTGAATACCCAGCACAGGACCTGACAAACTAGCCTACATTGCCTCAAAGGTCATGGCCATGGGAGCACGTGCCTATCTACAACATGGAACCACACCACTCTCGGCACTTCTAGCCATCACCTTACGTCCGGCTGATTGGACAGCCAATCTTATTTATTTTTCCACTTGAAATGCCATAAGGGGTTTCACTATTTTTACTTCAAAAGCAGCACCATAAAAATCCTTGATGATTAGAGCTCCAGCTGTCTTAAGTTGTTTGTCAAGGGATCGGTTACTCAAATCTCCTATGGAGGGAAACAATTTCAGGCGAGAAGCCATGGGAGCTGAGAAACGCAAATGTCTCATCTCTGAAAACTTTCAGACTCCCTCCTGTTCACCGCCTGTCCTGCCCCCTGCTCCCCCTCCCCCATCCCCACCATCTGCTCTCCAGAAAGCAGATCAAATTTTCGGGCTAAGGTACTCTGGCGCCAAGGACTCAGCCCCTCCATGCTTCCCCCTGCCCCCCACCAACTCCGAAATCCAACACCACGACCCAAATGGACTGCAGCCACATAAAACCACAAAGTAAAGTTTATAAAGCTTTATTAAACATTTCAAACAGCTGTGCAACGAACACACCAAATAAAAGCTCTAGAATAGCAGTCCAAACGTTTCACAAGTATGGCCTCACAGTCCCATTCCCTAGATGAACTGCCTCCAGTTCTGTTCTCTGCCTGGCCCATCTCTCTTTCTCCTCAGGCAAGAGAGAGATGGATGGATCAGACTGAAAGGACAGGCATGCTGATCTCCAGTAGGCAGGGGCCAGGAGAAAGTCTCGTTTGCCAACACTTGTTACTGAAGCGCAGAAAAAGCAGCAAGTGACAGTCACACAGTCTTCCTGGGTATTCTTCATAATGTACAGTCTATATGCGCAGGAACGGAGAAGCCCCTGGCGGGAGGATGATGGCCACTGCTCCCCTGTCTTGTCTGAATCACCTCGGAGTCCAGTGTGCTGGTCACTCTGCAATCCCCATGCTAAATAAAAACTGTAGCGGCACCTACCATATATAGCTAGCTATTGCTAAACCTCAAAATCAGAACATGTTCGATAAAGCTTCTTTAAAAGGAATATACACATGTATTTGTACACACACACACGCACAGGGCACACCAAAAAATATCCAAACATCTATCAAGGGGATCATGGCTGTTATGAAACACACAGGTACTCTCCCACTCACTCAGCTGGGGACTGCTAGAACTACGTGAACACACCATACTTCAATGCTGCAGAGCATGCACGGGAGACACAATGAGGCCCCCCTCCTTGGAACAGTTAAGAAAGGCAGGAGGAAGGGCAAAGGAAGTGAGGCTGGGCAGGAAAGCATGAGCCCAGACACCCAGGTGAAAGAGCAACATCTATCTGTTGCTTTCTTTCTTAAAAATGAAGTGGAGAAAATACTGAAGATTTGTGGACAACAAACAGTCAAGACATGTTTCTGTCTAGCCTGCTGAACAAGGAAAGAAGGATGAAAAAGCGAGGCTCTCGGGCGTCAGCAATCTCTTCAAATTTGAGATAAGTGCAAAAATGAGCCCTGTCTTGGACAGGTACTCCCCCAAAAAAAGGAAAAGGGTAGAAGAGAAGTAAAGGGAAACCAGGAGAGGGACTGAGTCAGTAACATTCTGGGAAGGAAGGAGACCCTGACAAGGAGGGGTCACAGAGGTGACAATGAGACTGGCATTTTATCTGCCCCAGGTCACATTGGGGCGGTTGACCAGGATGGGCCCAGACTCCTCGCAGTAATGAGGCGAGGGGGGTGGTCATGCGGCCAGCCAGGACCTAGATGGGGACAGAACACACACAACCACAAGACCACCCACGACTACAGGACTTTACAATAAAAGCACCGGTCAGTGCCATTATTCACATTATAAGGATAAAACATCACAGGCCAAAAAGGCGCCGTCAGGAATGTGACACCCGCGAGGCTGCGGGATTTGAAACTCCAATGCTTTATGACCTATGTCAATGCCTCCCCTCCCGTCTTCTGCTTCCTTGGAAAGCTAACAGGGCAGGCCGTTAGGTGCCCACAACGCCGGGATCATGCGCCGATTCTGGAAGCGGTGAATCGGAGCAGTGGTACAGGAAACAGTTTCCCCAGCAGCTATAGCAGATAAGGAAAAGGGCTGCCAGGAAAACCAAGGCACAAATTGTGCAAGGCTTCCGTTCCAGGAGGAAGCTGAGCAGGTAGAAGCCCATGAACATGGAGTGGCTGAACCACAGGGCGGGGTTGAGGGGCTTGGGGATGAGGAGGACGGGCAGCAGCCACTGGAGGCAATACATGATCTCTGCCGGGCAGGGCCTTCACCAAGGCTGCCGGGCACCGCTGCAGGAACCGACCTAATGGGAGCCAGCGGGCGCAGGCGGCTGCCCTCCGCTTTCTTCAACCCTCACTCTCCAGGAGCTGAGCCGCTGTGCTCTCTGGCTGTCAGCCCGGGATCACCAAGGCAGCAGGGATCCTGAAGAGAAAAGTCAACACAACAGACAAACAGACAAAGAACAGACAGACAGACAAACACACATACAAAAAAAAAAAAAAAAAAAACAGGAACAGAATGTATACTTATTTGGGAAAATGGATCATGGTTAACAACAGCAAATGTGAAATGCCCTTTCCTCCCTGCCCACCCGTGAAAGTTCTACTCCTCTCCAAGTCACTAATTCGGGAAGCTTCCTGGGATGTCTCCCCGGGGCTTCTCCTGGGGCATCAGGGAGAGGGCTCTTTGGCACGGTTTCACACAGTGGACTGGCTTTGCCTGGGCCCTGCCCAGCAGAGATCATGTATCGCCTCCTGGGGCTGCAGCCCGTCCTCAAGGGGCCCAGACCTCACAATACCGCCCAGTGGTTGCCAAAGGACTACCAAGGGCTCCCTGCTGTGCCCCCACGTGGTAAGGACAGGGTTCTGTATCTAGCATCTCTCACAGCCATAGGTGCTCAGGCACTGAGTACCGAGTTAAAGCTGTTAGCGGCGCACTGCCGGCCACCAGACCACAGGCAAAGGATACTGAGGCAGCTGCAGCCTCGAAATATTTTAAGATGGCAGCCTAGGCTAAGCTTGCCTTTTTCAAATAGCCCGGCGTCACTTTGCCAGAACCTGCCAACTTCTCCGAAAGTCAATGTAGAAAAAAAGTCACTATGCTACTTTGTCCAAACTGAAGTCGCTTGGATCATTACACCTCCATCTGCTGCTGGCACTGTACAGAACCTGACCTCTAGGAGCTTTTAACGAAAATTAATTTTCTATCCACATAGGGGCAAATGCCAGTTGGCCCCTGGGCAAAAGGCAGCTTGCTGTAAAGAGGTGCTTTCGGCTGGCCACCGGTGCGCGGGGACCACACTCACAAACCGCATTCCGGTCTTCCCGTCTGCAAAATCTGCGTTGTGCGAGGGACCCACAAGACGGGCGGTCTGAAAGGGACCCACCTCACTTGGAAATGGGGCTGCGGTAGCCACAACTCTCCAGTAGCGGTAGCGAAATCCCGTTCGGTGATCCAGCCGCCCAGCGCAACGGGTACAAAGAACCAGCGGCTAAGGCCGACCTACCAGGGCTTGGGGGAGGGGAGCGGAAGACAGAGGTCGAAACGACCTGTCCAGCAGAAAACTATCCCCGAGCATATTCCAACCACTTCTCCGTAGAGAGCTCATTCCTTCCGCGCATACGAAGGGCGCCAATCCTTCCTGTATCCCTCCCACAGATACCAGGTGACTACTGCTTTTGCGCCCAAAGCGCAGTGCCCTGGCTCAGCTCCCTACGGTAGCGACCTCCACCGCAGATCCTCATCTCCTCGCTAACGTAAGAGAGATGTAAAGAATCAGACGGGTTACACGCTCAGGGACACTCATGAAGCAGAGGACCTGGGCTTAAAACTCATTCAGTATTAGGAAAAGAGCGCCGAGCATGGTTCTATTATGCCGAGGCTTCTGAAAGGGGCACCATTTTTTTTGCTCTATGGGGCAGATGACCCCTCCCTAATTTCTGTTTTCCATCCATCCCCAAGGTAGGCTCTGGAGTGGCACCGGGGTCTGAGCTCAAATTTGCAGGCCAGGGACTGGGGAGAAGGGCGCCACACTAAGAGACCTGCACCCCCATCCTCGCCTTGTACTCTATCCAGAGTCGTGGTACCCCTCCATTTTAAAGCAAAATCCAAAAGCAAGCACGGCGGAATCTTCTGGAAGGGGGCTAAGATGGAACTCAGGAGGCGGGGGTCGGTATGGAAAGAGCAGATGGATTATTTTTTTCCTCTCCTGGCGAATGAGGAGCGCCCCCAGCCACCCCTCCTCATAAACACCCCCCCAAGGCGCGCATGCGCACTTAAGTGGCGGGCGGGTACTTAAGGCGCGGCCACCTCGGCTGCGGCAGTGCGCCCAACAGCGGACTCCAAGACCAGCGGATCTCGGCAAACCCTCTCTCTCGACCACCCACCTACCACTCTCGGAACCATGGCGGCAGTGGCGGCAGCCTCGGCTGAACTGCTCATCATCGGCTGGTACATCTTCCGTGTGCTGCTGCAGGTAAGTGTGCCAGGGTTTCGGGTGGGAGAGGGTTCCCAAGTCGCGCCCCCAGAACCCGCAAGACCGCGTCGCGATTGCCGCCTCCCGGACCGTCCTATTCCGATTGCCGCGATCCCTGCCTGCCAAAGTGCCGCTGCCGGCACCGCGCGCCCCCTGCCCATTCCCTGCGCTGTCCTCCTCGCGCTGACCCTCCCTAGTGCGCCCGCGCCTGCCCGGGAACAAAGACTCGGGGCGCGGCGGGCGACCGCTGCGGACGATCACCCAGGCTTTTAGCGACCTACGCGGTAAGAAAAACCCGCTACACCCGGACTCGACCCCAGGAGGGAGGCGGGGCACTACTGTGTTGCAAGACTTTACAGCTCGCAGAGTGAAAATTTTCCACCTTAAAAAATTGCGCATTGCGGAGAAATTTTATTTAAAAACACATATAGCGCTTGCGGGGGTGAAACAAAAAATAAGTTAGAAAAAGGCACTTCTCAGAAAAAATAAAAATTACTTCGCAAAAAAAACCAAACCAAACCAAAACAAAAAAAACCCTACAACGAATTAGAGAAAAAGTAGTTCACAGGAAAAGAGAAAGACGCGCATTGCAGGAAAAATAAATCGGAGAAAAGCACTTGGCAGAAAAAAAAAAATGCATTAGATTAAAAACGCACTGCAGAAAAAAATTAGACAAGGGAGCTAACAGAAATAAATGAATTGGGCAAAAACGCTTTCAAGAAAAAAATTAGAGAAAAAAGCCCCTCGAGAGAAAAATAGAAGGGGAAAAAGGCGCTTCCAAAAAAGGATAATTGCTTTACGAAAAAAAAAAAAATCAAAAAGAGGCAAAAGCGCTTTGTGTAAAAAGAGATAAATCAAAAGAAAGCGCTTTGCCCATAAAACCATTTACCCTAAAAGCTCCCTTTGCAGGAAGAATTCCCTGCTAAAGGAATCCTTTGCCAAAGGAATCGCATATTTCCTTCAAGGTGTTCCTGGAATGCTGCATTTACTGGGTAGGATTCGCTTTTCGAAATCCTCCAGGGACACAGCCCATTGCGAGAAGTGAGGTATACCTAAGTTGTGGGTCCAATCAGCTTGCCGCCATGCAGCTCTCAGCACAGTTGGAAAAGCTCCAGCTGCCCTGACTCGTGGACAAGCTGCGCCCGCGCCCGCCTCTCCAGCCTACGCTGGATGGGCGGGCGGGGCAGGGGGTGGGGCGGGGGTGGGCACGGCAGCACCACAGACATGCTGTGGGTGCTCTCCACTAAGGGTGGGTCCTGGGTTTCTCGCCGCAGGTGTTCAGGTACTCCCTGCAGAAGCTGGCGTACACGGTGTCGCGGACCGGGCGGCAGGTGTTGGGGGAGCGCAGGCAGCGAGCCCCCAACTGAGGCCCCAGCTCCCAGCCCTGGGCGGCCGTATCATCAGGTGCTCCTGTGCATCTCAGCCAGCACGGGAGCCAGTGCCGCACAGGAACGGGGGGTCCCCTGTGCTCCCTCGCCAGAGGAGCACTTGGCAAGGTCAGTGAGGGGCCAGTAGACCCCTGGAGAAGCAGTACCGACAATGACGAAGATACCAGATCCCTTCCCAACCCCTTTGCACCAGTCCCACCAAGGGGCAGGGTCGGGAGAAGAGGGGGAATAGGGGGAGCAGACCCCTGAGATTTGGGCATAGGCACCGCATTCTGATCTGGACAAAGTTGGGACAGCGCCATCCCAGCCCCGAAGCCAGGGCCATGCCAGCAGGCCCCACCATGGAGATCCAAACACCACACCAGCCAGCAGAATGGACGCTCTGACATCGCCAGCCGAATCCCTGAATCTTGGTGCAGCACCAACCGCGTGCCTGTGTGGCGGGACTGGAGGGCACAGTTGAGGAAGGAGGGTGGTTAAGAAATACAGTGGGGCCCTCTTGCTGTCCCTTGCCTAGGGCACTTGCATTCCAGCCTTGCTGCATTTGCTCCCTCGATTCTCCTTTCCTCCTCACTGCCTTCCAAGCCCACCCTACTCCAAAATAATGTGTCACTTGATTTGGAACTATTCAAGCAGTAAAAGGAAATGAATCCCACTTTTACTAAAACACTTTCTCTGAATCCCCCTTGCCCCTCACTGATCTTGCTTTTCCCTGGTCTCACGCAGTTGTGGTCAATATTGTGGTAATCGCTAACTGTACTGATTGTTTAAGTGTGCATTAGTTGTGTCTCCCCAGCTAGATTGTAAGCTCCTGGAGGACAGGGACCACCTCTACAAAAAATAAAAAAAAGTACCTCCCCTGTCTCGCACAGTGTCCCAGGACCCTGCGGGGCAGTGGAGGCGCGCCAAAACTTTGTCTCTTGTGATTTCTTTAGCGGCATCAACACACACTTCTAAGACTCAGCTGATGTGCCCATTGTGGAACAGGCACTCTGCTTGGGGGAGGGAGGAAAAGGAGGGCCATCAAAATTGCAATAAGCTGGGCCCCTCACACACCCAACCTCATCTCAATGCTGTCCTGTGATAAAGGACCATTTCCCCCCCTCCCCAATGAGAAAGGCTGACATCTTCACTTGTGGTCCGGGAATAAGGGACCACTTCCCCCTCCCCAAAGGGATAGGTGCTTTACTTGTGGTCTTAGGAGAAGGGGCCAAAGCAGGTAATCACTTTGGGAAAGATGAGAGGAGGGGGAAAAGGTGGCAGTAGCCCTCCAAAGAGGTACTAGGGACCAAGGGGGTGATTTCAGAACACAAAGCCTTACTCCAGGTCTCCATCCAGGATCCCCAAGGAAATGAGTACTGGGCAGGGTAGACATTGGCTTAGACAATGAGTATGGGATAAGAGGTGCAGTGTGGCACCTTCTCCACCCAGCTTAATGCTGCAGGCCCCACATCCACCAGGACCACTACAAAGACAATCTGCCTGGCCCTGCGACTCTGCAGGGTCTCCTGGCCCCACCTCATCCCAGAAACCTCTCTCCCCGATACTGGATTTCTGCTTTTCCCAGCACCAGCCTCCTTACTCTTAGGGATGCTTACCAGGTCCCTGGCCCTGGGCTCTCCCCTGCCATCATGTCAGGGTAGACAGTGGGCTGGCTGCTCGGCCTCGGACTTGTCTTCCTCTCCCACTCCCCAGTGAGTCAGGGCTCTTTCTACACAGGGTCAGCTGACTGTCTCACCAAATGGCCCTGCCGCCTGTTCAGCCTTGTCTCTGGCTTTATGTGTCCCTGTCACCACACACCTGTTGCTGGGTCAACACCAAGGGCGGGAGTTGGAGGGCCATAAATCTCTCTTCCTGCCACTTCTTCGAATCCCTTAGTCACAGCTGTCACAAATACTTCTGGAGCACAAAGTACCTTGCCCCCTTAAGCCTGACCATGTTTCCTTCCCCTAAGCAAGGCCCCCAGTCACCAGCACCTCTAAAGGCATCTAAAACTTCATTCGGTATCAGAGAATTATAGGGGTGGGGAGGTGCAGATCCCAGTTCTGGTCTTGGCTTTGCCATCAATCAGCCTAGGGAACCTGGACATGTCACCTTATACCCTTCATCTTCAGTTTCCCTCTCTAAGAGGGCCTCTGAGATGCCAGTGAACCCTGACATGCTAGAAACTGTCGTCGCGGTGGCAATCAGGACTCATCAGGACTCGGAGAGGATGTGCAATCTGAGACTTCATCTTTCTTAGGCTGGGTGGCTATAGCTGCTACCATAGCCTGAAGGTGAGGCAGGTCTCCTCTCACCCCAGTGTGACTCATCAGCAGGCAATGCCCACACCTCCTCCCTTCTGAACCCCTATCTTGGCAGGCCTCAGAACTGGGAGTTTCTGTGGTTTTCCACACTAAACCCACAGAATCATGAACATACCAACATGTGTTCTCAATGAAGGCTGACCCTCCCTTTGGAGCTTTTGAGGGGTATGCCCATAGCCCCACTGCCCCTGATGCTCTAACCTCAGCCCAAGGGACAAGGTAGATTTCAGGGAGGTGGACCAAAGCAGCATGGTAAGAGCTGGCTGCTCTGGACACAGCACCTCCTGTGCCCCCACTTAGAAAACAAGAGGCTGCTTGTAGCCCCAGAGTTTTCCATATCATCTTGGCAAAGCCCTTTTCCTCCATCCATCCATCAGCAGGGTTGTGAGTGTGACAAGGTGAGACGACAGATTTCCAGTCAAGGGCTGCCCTGGTGGCCTGCACCTGCATGTGTGGGCTTCAATGTGCAATGTCCACTCCCCATTTGCATTCTCCACCCACAAAACCTCATGTTCTGGCAGCAAACAACCCACCAGAGAAGACAATGCATTCACTTTCCATCCAGTGCAATGCCAAGCAATGCTTAGATGGTCCAAACACCCCTTGTTTATAAAATTTTTTCCACAAACTATACCATTAAACATTTTATTCTGATAGAGAGCAATGGGAAGAATTGAAAATGCCTAGTATTTTATTGCACAGCCCTCAGTCACAGTGCTGAATGCCCCCTTTGCCTAAACTGTCATTGCTCCCAGAAGATTTTGCCCCCCACAAGGCCAAGGACAGAGCAGATCAATTGGGAAGGACTTGAGAATGGCTCTGTGGGACTCCAGCAACAGGTGAGAGACCCTTGAGACTAATGCTCCAGGATGTTAAGTTTCTTAGCCTAACCAGCTGAAGTCCAGAGGTGGCAGGTTTAGGTACCATGACTTTTAGGGGTGCAGGGTGCTATGTGACACTGTTACCTTTATCTGTGGAATATTTGCGTTGTCAGTGAAGAAAGGGATGTCTGCTGTCAGGGAAGGGCAGGGGCAAGTTCCTTGAGCTTGGGCAACAGATAACTGTTGGATCGGGGAGCAGGTCTGCTGTGAGTCATTTACTAGATATCTATTTTGAAATGTGTATCTCCTCAGGAGCCAACACCCCAAAGGGAGATTCTGAATTTGCAGTTAACTCCCCGTCTCCGGCCCCCTCACCAGAGATTTAAACGTGTGCACTCATGCACATACACAAAACACTAGTCAAACAACAATCTCTTTTCCCTTGGTGACCTCTGACTTCCTCTATATGCCCCAGAGACATGTTGTCACCATCTTCCCTGGGAATGATCCTGTTTATCCTCCCCTCCCCCACTTGCCCTCCCACAGGGCCCATGCCCCAGCAGGATCCAGATTCCTGAGCATTTCCAGAGCAGGAAGTCAGAGAGGCAGGCAACGCATGGTTCTTGGTATATCGCACAGGGACAGGCTTGAAATGGAATGCATGTGTTTCAAAGATAGGAGAACAACAACAAAAAAAGGCAGCCTAACCCAGATTCCTCTTTGAAACAACAAATTACAGATTAAAGGTTAAACTGGTTTTGGCAGCAACTCTAATAAGACCAATTTCAGATATGGAATTGACCTGGTCACAGGAAACCGACCAGGCTTCCCGTGATCAAAACTTTTAACAGATTTGCTTGACATTAATTAGTCTCTGATTTAAAACAAACAAGCAAACAAGATCTAACACTTTGGGCATTAGCACTTAAACTGGAACTTTTTTTTGGTCCCAGCTTTGGTGTTGCCGTCCAGAAGGCTGACGGGATGACTGGACCATGTCGGGCAAGGCAGAGAAGCCGTCCCCAACACACCAGTTCCCTGAAAGGGATAAAGACGATCCAAACCTATAAACAGAAAGGCTGTTTCTTTCCGAGGACAGACCCCAGTCTCCCAACATTTAGCGCTGAAATGGGACACGAAGACCTGGAAGGAAACTAAAGGAGATTTGGAAAGGGGAAGGAAAAAGCAACTGTCTCCCATCCCCCATGCTTCCTTTCCAGGACATTAGTGTGCCAGGCATTCCGTTCTTTCAGCTGCCCTTGAGGGCCACTCCCCACGTCTATAGAAGGAAAAGGAAGGGGTGTCCACCCTTGATGTAAAGTTGGAGGGAGTAAGAAGCGCCCGCGACTCTTAGCAGAGCGTCAACCTATCACCCCAGACACCGAAGCGGGGCCTCGAGCGGGAGACCCTCTCTCCCCTCACCCCCACGCCCCCCGCCCCGGCCAAAAAAAAGCAACTAAAGTAACTACACTGATGGGGACAGAGTGACAGGCCTCTCACAAGCTGGGCACCCTGCGTGGAACCCGGGGCCGCAGAGATGGTGGTCGCGCTCCCCAGCCCTGTGCCCCGGCTCTGCCTGCCTCATCCTGCAAGGACACTGACCTTGGACAAGGCCGGAGCGAGCACCCAGGAGTACTGTGACCACCCCCGGGCTGGAAAGGGACCCCCAAGGCCCAAGTTAGGTCCAATCACAGCAATCACCTGAAGCCGGACAGGGGCGCTCTCCCTTCCCGGGGGTATGCGGAAGGAAAACCCCAGTGACGGGGACCGGGCGACGCCTAAGGTGACCCAGAAGGGACAATATGGCGGCGCGGCCGCATGGAGGGCCTCTCATCCCGCCCCAAGCAGGTTGACGCCACGGTACCTGCAAGCCCTGCCATGGCGCCGCCGCCACTGTCGCCGTCTGCCGCAGCCTGCCTCCACCTCAGCTCGCCACGGACGCCGCAGGAAGCCGGGGAGACGCCCCCTTCGTCTTCTAGTGGAGCCGGCCGAGGACCCGTCCTGGAATCGGGCTGCCTACCACAGACGCCTGATCACACGGCCCGAAGAGGGGAGCTCACCCTCGCCCCATCTCCCCTAAATATCAGCCACAGGCCACCTTTGAGTCCTTTGTACGCACTTTTATAAAATTCTGGGAGCGCCGAGGTCCTCAAGCCCTAATAATTTTTATCAGGCGCAGTGTGGACAGCCCCGAAGCGCGGCCGGGTCCCCTCATGCATATGCAGCAAATTGTGATCTTTACTTCGTGAGCGCGGGGCGGGCCCGGTTGTGTTCCTTTGGGTGAACCAGCTTAGTTCTTCACCGCGCGGACGGTCCGGGGACTCGGGGAAAACCTTCTCGTGGCTCAAAGTCCACCCCCTCCCTAGCGTTTCATCATGCAGCCAGGGCTCCGGAGCTGAGAGATCCGGGCTCAGAACTTGGGACTGCCTTGGGTCAGGCCCCGGCTCCCCCACTTGCCCGGTATCTTGGGCGAGGGAGCCCCTCCCCCGCCCCGACCCGGCTTCTGATGAAATGCCCACCTTACGGCTTTTATGGGGCTTGAATGAGTTCGTGTAGTCATTTATTAGCTAATTAAGCGTATTCCTTGGGCGCTTACTGTACCCAAGCTCAGTGCTAAGGGCAAGTAGAGTGGGTGTCCTGGGTCTGTTCCTGACCTCAAGGCGCTGCCAGTCTAATGGCGGGTAGGCGGGGAGACAGTCATATAATCACTGTATATTAGTGACTTGAATCAATACATAATTACACATCATGGGAAGTGCTGTGAGAAGAAGTAGAGAGTGTTAGGAG